AAGGTCATTTAGTCCAGCCTCCTGCCCAAGGCAAGATGAGCTTTAACCTGAGCTTTAGTGATTTTTAACCTGTTCTTGAGCATTTCCATGGATGGAGATTTCACAGCTTGTCTAGGTAGCTGATTTGCAACCACCCAACACCTGCTTAACTCTTAGTCAGAAATTTCTTTTTAATAAACCTAAAATTTCCTTTGTTGCAGTTTGAGGCCGTTGCCCTGTCCCCAACAGCCACAGAGAAGTGCATCTCCATACTCTTTATAATAGCCTTTCTGGTATATGAAGATTGTTATCAAATCCGCCTGCTTCAGGTCTTCTCAACTCCAGAATAAATAAAGCTAAATATTCAAGCTTTTCCTGATAAATCATGCTTCTCAGGCCTCTAATAATTTTATCTCTCTCCTCTAAACTCTGCCTAACCTGTCCACATTTTTCTTTAAGCATATAGGCCAAATCTGGACACTGTACTCCAGCACAATATTCCAGGTGAGGCTTCACCAGAGCCAAATAGAGCAAAAGAATCACTTACCTTGATTTGCAAGAGACACTCCTGTTCATACCATCTAATATGGTGTTGTCATTTTTTGCAACAAGAGCTCACTGATAGCTCGTATTCAGCTTCTGGTCCACTGTAACCTCTAGGTCCTTCTCTGCAGTACAGCAGCCTAGCCATTGCCTACTCTGTATTTGTGCGTACAGTTATTCCATCCCAAGTGCAGGACTTTGCACTTGCCCTTGCTAAATTCATTAGGTTCTACAGAGTATCTAGCAGCTACATGAATGAAATAGAAGACAGTGAGCAATCAGACAGAAGAGTTGACTATAAAAATGCTACTAAGTCCATCATTAACCAAAATGGGACCATTAAACCTCTGTTCACATAAAAGAACTGGGACTTGTTAGCAGAAAATACTAACAAGTCCCAGCGTAAAGACTGTGGAGCTGGAGGCAGGAGCCCAGCAGAGATTGTTAGTGGAACCACCTCTACATGACTGAGCTACAAGCTCCCCCCTATATTAACTGCTTCAGCCCTAGGTGGCACCCAAAAGGTACTGGCCACTTTGTAAGCCTGAACTATTTTAATTCTGTTTGATATGGTCCGTCTTTATATGTTGCTTGATTTATGTAGCCTCCAGTTACAGTATTATTTTATTGGGCAGTAGCTGGTCTTTTCAACAGTACCTATTAAAATTCAGCACACTTAGGAAATGAATCCCTTGGTCTGGGTAATGTTTACAACTGGGAATCCTGCCCATTGTAAACATGATCAGTGATCACTAATCCACTCATAATGGGAGCACCCCTTGTTTCTAAGCCTTTGCTGCTGGTAAATATAAGTCTCTCTACACTGTAGAAAATTACATTTATTGTTAAGAAAGGCCTAAAAAGAACCTAATAGACTAGTGGTACAATTTAGACAATCTGAGGCATCGGGAAAAAAGATCAAGGGAAAAGAAAACTTACTTTTGACCACATCACCAACAGTAGGGACTGTGGGAAAAAGAAAATTTTAACATAGATTTATCAAATCCACAATTATCCCTCACCCATGAATTTAACTGGAATGTAAATTTGCTACCTGCTGTCTCTTTCCCACAGACAAGTCCTGGATACATGAAACAGCCCTACAATAGGAAAATGAAGGCAGTAAGGGTGCCTCAGATTATCAAATCCCCGAAGTCTATCGAAGTCCCAAAGTACCTCTCATGTCCTCAATTGCTGCTGATTGAAGGAAATGAAGAAAGACATATTTTACTTCTAAATGAATTAACAGCAGTCAAGAAATTAATCAATTAATCTGTGATGTACAATCACACCTAGAATTTCACAATAATGTATTAAATGTAACCAAAAGAAAATTGATAAGCAAAAACATGTCAAAGAATAAGTCTAATAAATACAAAATTCTGAATAGTGAGGATTTTATTATAATTGATGAATTGGCAGTCAGTTGCTGACCAACCAAAAAACTTCTTCCTCTATTTTAAACCATAGTTCCATTAGAGATAGGAACAAGACAGATTGAGAGAGAAAACTATTTTATTTTTCAAATTTTATCCCCACAAAAAGGGAATTTTTAGTCTGAAAGATACTTGCATGATTTTTAGCTAAAAGATTTACCACTTCCCTTCAACTATTGGAAAGCAATATTATTTATACATCCAAGCTGCAGTCCTTAGGAGAATCAGCTAGATATTCCCCCATGAGAGAGGCATCCAATAGAAATGGAGACAGCCAACTGCCCTCTTAAGAAGACAGAAATTAAAGAAGATATTCCTTACTTTGCACAAGCAGAGTATTAGACAGCTGAAGATTTCAGCTCCTACTAGTGACCATTCTATTCAAGTAACTGTGGGCTCAAGAGATTAACTAGGTCCTACAGAAAAGCAAATCACTTTACCTCTAGGTGGGATTGATCTTTTGGTTTAGAAGGAATCAATAAGAGAGTCAAAGAGAATGATAATCTGGGAGAGAAATACGTTGTTCTTTTCAAAAATACTCTCTCAGGCCACTCACGTTGCATTCTTAAAGAAAAAGAAGCTCAAAAGCAATTGTTCAACATGAAACAGTTGTTCAACAACTGGAAAATGTTCTCACAGAAGAAAGTGTCTTTGTAGAGCAGTGGTTTCTCAACCTTCTTCGACTCAAGACACCCCCTGGAAAATGTCAGCTTTTAGTTTTCACTTGATTCTTGACTACAGAAAAATAACAGAGCAGTTCAACTTTTACAAAGAACTCAGACCAAAACAGGTCAGAATGTTTTTAACACTATGGAGTCCTATTTGAAATCCCAAAGCACCTCTTGGGGTAGCAAGGAACAATGGTCACAAACGGACTGGAGAGTATATTTAGGCTAGATATCAAGAAAAACTTCCTCACGGTAATGGTGGCCAAAATTTGGAATGGGCTGCCAAGGGAGGCGGTGCTCTCCCCAACTTGGGGGTCTTTAAGAGAAGGCTGGATAGGGATCTGGCTGCTGTCATCTGACCCCAGCACTCTTTCCTGCCCAGGGAGGGGGTCAGACTCGATGATCTGTTGAGGTCCCTTCCGACCCTAACATCTATGAATCTATGAAAAAGTAATTGGCTAATTAGGGGGGAAAATGTCTCCTCTCTAACAGCTTACAGTCTGTCCTATACTCCATAGCTGTACTTGCACTACTTTTACAAGTAATAAGGGCCAAAATCAAATAGAAGTCTCTGTTTTTAATTTTTTATTCTACTATATTGGTTAATTTTGGTTTTGTATCATCATATATTGTTTGCATTTTTGTTTAAATTATTAAAATATGTAATTTTATTGTATGCTTTTTGCCAATAACCACAAATCATGTAATTTTGTTATTATATAGTATCTGATTTTATTATTAATTCCATTTTATGATTTTAGCAAAAGCTGTAAAATAAACTACTAATGCTAATAAATTAAATTAATCAACAGGAAAAAGCTCCCATGTTTTGTGAAAGAATGGCTAATAATTAGGTCCATAGCTCACATACATTAAATATTTTAGTCACCAGAAGAAAAAGGGAACTGGAATGTACCACACAACCTAATTTGAATGTAAGATACTTAGTACAGGTAGAGTTACGCTAAATTTCTACGTCACCCTTCACTGGTAAAAACGACAATCCTCTACCTTCACTCAGCCTCACTGATTTATGAGAGAAAATTCAATTGTGAAGCCACTTTCCTTTGACCCATTCATCCCAGTATGGAGAAACTAATGCCATTTAGATTTCTTGATGGGAGGACAAGGGATGGCACTTAACACAGCTTTCCATACTGGACACTTCTATACACAAAAATTGTCGGCAAAAAATTCAAACACATTAAACTACACTCAAGCATGCATCTGAATGTGTACCCATACGGAGCAAATTTGCTCCCAACAGGATCAGTTCAGTCTAGGGCTGCTCCTGCCCATCTCTGCCCCCCTACAGCAGCCACAGGAGGGCTCCAGGCTCCCCGGGGTGTCAGTCCCAAGGTGGCAGAGAGCACAGGGGGCAGTCCTTATCTCCGTGAGGTTGAAGAAGCTGTCCTGGCTCTGAGAGCAGCTGCTTCTCAGTCACACAGAGATCAGAAACAGTCCTGATCTCCACAGAGCGTGGAGAGCTGTTCCGGCTCTGGGGGCAGCTGCCTACCAGAGATGCAACAATCGGGGTTGACCGCAATCTCCATGGGGCAGGGAAATCTGTCCAGGCTGTAGGTCAGCTCCCTCCTAGTTGGCAGCAATCAGCACCAGCCCCAATCTCCATGGTGGGGGAGAGAACTGTCACAGCAGCGGGGCAGCTCCCTCCCAATGGCGCAGTGATCAAGGCCAGCCCCAATTACCGTGCGGCTGGAAGCGTGATGTCCTGCAGCCAAGACAGCTCTCTCCTGTCCTATGGATATCATGGCTTAGCCAGGCAGCAGTGGCCCCCTGCAGCCTGGGCTGACCAGAAGCAAATTGCTCCGGGTTAAGGTCAACACTTGCACTTTGGCACATTACTTAATACGCTGTTTTTCTAGTATCTGTATATATTGGTACTAGCGAGTGGCACATTAAACTCATTTAATGCACAATAATTCACACGCACATGTAGACAGTGGCACTTCACAGCACATTAGTCTAACATGTAGTAAAGCATCTCATGCAGATGCACCCACCATGCATTTCCATTTCTCCAAAAAGGGATAGGAGCAAACACATTAATAATTCTAGTCAGACCATCAAGCAATGTTCTAGAGTCAAAAGTGAATAAATGGCTTCAAAATCCTTGAATATAAATGTGGATGGATTATCTGCAGGTAGCTAACATCCACACCCTTGAGAGCTGCACTCGTCCCTGACTTGAAAATGAAAAACCTTGGAATATGTGGTTCAAATAAAAAAGTCACACTATTTCTGAAGCCTTTAAAAACACATTCCAAGAAATCTCTTCTTTTGGCAAAAGGATTTCTAAGTCACTTCAATCTCTATGCCAGGAACGAAGGAAATGTAAATCTCAGCCTCATCTGTCTTTTGTTGTGAAAAAAAGCATTGTTTACTTGTTCCATCATTCATTTCAATACCACATATGTTTTGTTTTCTCAAAAGAAAATAGACCATTTACAGGAAAAAAGTGAAAGGCCCAAAGTCAAATATTTGATTATATTTCAGTAAGGGGAAAAGAAGTGTAACATAATTATAACTCACTCCTCAGAAGTTGCTTTAAATAATATTAAATTTAAATATACACAAATACATTATTCCACATTCAAAAATCAGAGACCAACTTACACAGACTGGCTGAACTGAGCATGCACGAATTTCAAGGGGTATTTCACATGTTCATTGAGTATCTTTTCTTTACAGTATTATCTTTTATTTGCCACAAAGCCAACCCTCAATTTAGTGCATACCACTAAAATCCCTTGAGAACATTCCAATTATGCTGGGGAACTACAAAATCCATTATCTTGGCTGCAAACAAGAAATAAATGGAACCCTTTCAATTTATTACAAAACACTGCATGATATATTTCTTATCATAGAATATTTGATAGGAGTATAAAAATACAAGTTCATGATTTCCTCCCTGCTGGGCAGTTTAACTTTCTATTACCTGGAAATATCTGGTCAAAAGAGCAATCACAATTACTGACTAATAAACATGCTCAAACAAGCTCATTCAGAGCATAACTCACATCCCCAAATGTAAAACTTCAACAGCAATAAAAATTTGGACTTAGAAAGCTATATCATTAATTTCAAACTATTATTTAGAACAGTTCCATTCCCAACCTCCAGAGAATAAAAGTACTCTATGGTGTACCTTACCACACATTTTCTAAATTAGTGTTATAGCTGCAGGCTTCAGCTATATGAGAATAGTGCATGTGGCTTTATAAATCCGAAACCCTAAACCAATTTATTACTTCACTTATCAAAGATTACTTTACGTTCTTGATTAAAGAGCACCAACTCAAAGTACCCACTCAATTACACACCTCATTTTTCATCAGCCAAGTTCAGTTTTCCCTTTACTTTGGTCATTTTATACAGACTGTTGTGACATTTAAGCCAGAAGTTGCAAACCTCCATCTACAACTAGAATATGTCCTGTAACATAAGGAGACTCTAGAAGAAAGATAACAGCTTGTGCGACTTCATGAGGATCTCCAAATCTTCCAAGAGGAATCGTTTTTGTCATCTGTTCTTCTTTCAAATGGGCAGTCATATCTGTGCGAACAAAACCTAAAAAAAAGAAATGTTTGAGGACATAATACAATGCAAGTGTTAAAACAAAATCTGTAGAAGTCTATCACAGTAGGAGAGTTGAGAACACTTGAGCCCAAAGATGGCTCAATGTGTATTTTTACATATACAGAATAAATACGTGTGTGTGTGTGTGTGTGCTTACATTCACACATCTCCAACTGCATTAAAGATCACCAATATACATTTGATTGGCCTTATGTCATTGGAAGCCTGTATAGTCTTAACTATATAAGACTGTTTACACAGGAAAACAGGCTGATATCAAAAGCAGATCCAATCAAAACAAATATTTATGGAACACTCTGGTTTCTAGACTGAAATAATACCCCCTGCCCTCATTTTTAAGCAATTTTTATCGAAATACTGAAGTATCATTTTCAAATAAAAATGTAATGGTCATTTCAGACTCCTCTTTAAATTAAAATATGCTCATCTGATTCTGTAGGAATGATATGCTTTTCTACCTAATGAGAAATATGGAATAACAAATTGAATTGTAACTTCGTGTTACCGTTAGAAACGTAGGCTAGATTTCACCACTCAGTAAATGGAGAGTAAGCCCTATGCTGATGAAGTATAAAAGCATGTGCTTTTCTCCTCTTTATTCATGAGTCAGCTGGGACAGGTCATAAGATACAAGAACTGAATGCTGTACCAGTGTAGCTATTAGAGACTTTTCTACTTCTGATCATGATATTTGGTTTGAAAATTCTCACATCAAGATTTATTCTTATATTCAGTGATGGCTCTGAAGTGCAATACTAACAAGCTGCACAATTTGAGATGCAAACCAAAAAGCATGCTGCAGTCAGTGGGAATGAAATATAAACTGACAGTAAAACAGTTTTCAAATGTAATGGCCAAGGTACAAGATTAGAGGCCATAACAGTCACCAAGTGTACCCATGGAGTTGATGCCATTGCTTTTTAAAGAATTCAAGAATAGCTGGCATACCTAGAGTATGAATGGGGTCTTCATTCATAAAATGTGAATGGTGACTGATACATACTTTCATGTTTGAATCAGCGTAATAAAACAGGCCACTAGCTAAATGTTCCAAGTGAGTAAAAAGTTATTAGGACATTATATAGTCAGACTTCTTCTGAAATTGGTTTAGCACTCTCAGTAATAACAGAAGAAATGCTAGCATACATGTTATGAAATACTTTTCACATTAAAAGTATAATACTCTACCAAGTTGTTACAAATAATCCAGGCAGGTACTATAGCATTTCTACAAAGAATAAAGGAAATGTCCATTTCATTTTTAGGATAATTAAATGTTACTTTTTTTCCAACCGTCTGATGTATTATCTACTTGATTTCAAGGAGCTAACTGATTTCCACAGAGACTCTTATTATACTAAAGGGACAGAAAGGATACCTATATGCTTGCTGTGGAAAATCCTTACTGACTCTACTGTTTTAAAAAATGTTTAATAATGCACATTACACTAGATAATCTATGTAAAAACGGTTCTCTTTCTGTTTTCAGGAGAGGTAAGATTTCAAACAAGGGCTGCCAAAAGAGAGCACAGAGAAATCTGTCTCAAGACTTGTTTTTAAAAACTCAGAACCTGATACATTCAGGAGCAGGTATTTCTGACTGTGGAGGAGCCCTTTAACTACCCAAACCTGAGGGAAGATGACTGCATGGAGCAGAAAGCATGTTCTAGAGAAGTGACCATGAGCTGAAATAGCAGTCAAGTGAAGGAGGGCTGGGGAGCTTGTTCCCCCCCACTCAGCTGCGTAAGCATGGAGCTGGATGGGGAAGAAGCTGAGGACATTGTCCCCTGCCCAGTTCCACGCTCGCAGAGCTGAGCAGGGAACAAGCTCAGCAGCCTGTTCCACACCCAGCTCCATGCTCACAGAGTTGAGTGGTGAACAAGCTCCCCAGCTTGTTTCCCATCCTCCATCCCATGGGCAGGGCAGGGGCTGGGATCTGCCCTGGTCAGAAGCAGGTCCCAGCCCCATTCCCCATGCCTCGAGCTAGCTGCTAATCTGGCTCAGCTGGGACTTGCCCCTCCCCTGCAGCTCTTTCCAAATACTGGGCCTTGATCACTCAATTGATGCATGGGCCTGGGACCTGCTCCAGACCAGGACAGATCTCACCTGTTCGCCCACTCACCTCTGCAAGCATGAAGTTGGGAGGGGAACAAGCTGGGGAGCCTGTTCACTACTCAACTCCAAGAGCATAGAGCTGGGTGAGGAACAAGCTGGCAAGCTTGTTCCCTGCTCAGCTTTGCGAGCGTGGAGCTGGACAGGGAACAAGCTCCCCAACATGTTCCCCACCCAGCTCCACAGTCACAGGGCCAGTATTGGGAGATCCTTACCTCCCAGCACCAGTTCTGCAGCCACAGGACCAGCATTGGAAAATCCTTATTTCCCAGCACCAGCTCTGGGACCACAGGTCCCATGCCAGGAGACCCTTCATCTCCCAGCACCAGCTCCACAACTGCAGAGCTGGTGCTAGGAGATAAGGGGTCTCCCAGTGCCAGCCTCACAACCACAGAGCTGCCACTGGGAAATAATGATTTCCCAGCCTCCATTCCCCAGTCACAATCTTGGAGCAGGGGGCTGGGAGCTCCCTGCTGTCAGGGCAGGGGAACAAAGTTCCTGCCCAGGCTACAGTGGCAGAGCCTGCCCTGACAGCAGGCAGCTTCCAGGGACAGGGAGAAATCTCCCACCCACAGTGAATGGCTGACCAGGAGCAGATTTGCTCCCAGTCAGTTGACTACAAGTGCTAATGCACAATTACTAATCAAAACTAATTACTCGCAATTAGCAAGGTTTACTGAGTAAGCATGTGCACATGTAGACACACATGCTTACTGTACAGTCAAGCATCTTGTGTAGACATGCCCACTGTATACATTGTCTCCTCTCCTATTTAAGACTGAATTTGATTTAAAAAAACAAGTGGAAGACATCTAAGGAATGACCTGTACTGAAAAGACATACTGTATACAGAAATCCTTCCTCATACAGTACTTCTTAGAATATTTTTTTTTACATTTCGATTAGCCCACAGAGAGAGGGTAAGAAAACAATATTGAATTAGATACTTAAGTGGAATAAATATTTATCCCAAGGTTTATCTTTGATGTAAAAACTGACTGAGCAGGAAAAGTTGGAGTGTCGATGTAGCTGAGATCATCCAGGAAATGTATGAGGCAAGGTCTTTTTTGTTGTATCTTTTATTGTACTAACGATATAGTTGAAAATGCTTTTGGGCACAAAGGCCGAAAGAACTAAGATTATTTAGTCTAGTTCTTGGGTTTGGTTACAGTCTTCAAATTACCTGAAGGCTGATTATACAGAGAAAAGTTTATCTCCATTCTCTTTGGCTATAGGGGACAGGACTAGAAGCACTGGCCTCAAGCTGCAGCAGGGGAAATTTAGGCTGAAGATTAGGAGGAGCTTTCTATGAGGGTGGTCAAGCATTGGAACAGGGTACATAGAGAAGTTGTGGAATCTCCATCCTTGGAAATTTTCAAGAGCAGTTTAGACAGTCACATGACAGAGATAGTTTAGTTAGGGATGATCTGTCTTGAGGAAGAAGCTGGACCCGATGACCTTGTCCCTTCTGGCTCTATTTTCCTTCCATTTTATTCTTGAGATTTAGGAAGGATGCAGGCACATGTTTATAAACAGAAAGGGACATTTTCACAGTGTTTTCTTAGGAAGACTTAAGTATGCAAAATATATTGTTTTTAACAAAAAAGGAACTGAAAATCTGCTATCCACTAGTATATTAGTGTACATTTGTAGCTAGTCTTTTGTTTTTAGAGTATAGTAAGCATACAGTATTTCACTGCATTCTAGGCCTGCTGATCAGCAACTAAAGTAATCAAAAGTCACATTCAGAAGTTTAGTAACTTAATCATAAACTAACCTGGAGCAACCATGTTGACTCGAATTTTCTTTCTTGCTACTTCTTTAGCAAGAGAGCGTGAAAATCCAACTAATCCTGCTTTACTGGCACTGTATACACTCTGACCAGAGTTGCCCTTGAGTCCAACAATACTTCCTAAATAAAGAGAAGAGCAAAAGGAGGCCAAATGACAGGTTAATTAAATTCTTTATAGGAGATGTATTGTACTGGTTCTAAGTATTGGCATTTCAATTAAGATTAAACATAAACCAATGAAAATTAGCTTGAGAACTGCATGTTAACTTATCAATGAGGGCAGTGATGAGGACATTAGTCTTCCCTGAACTATGATAAATCAATTCATGTATGCAAATACATATAAATATGCATGAGCACTTTATAACAAGAGATTTGAAGCACAACTGTTTGACTATCATCAACCCTGGACTAACAAGAAATCCCATACATCTCTATCATGATTCCAATTACAAGCACCTTAAAAAAACCCAACAACTTGTCAGCTTTGGTTGTGGAAACAGTTTATACAACTTGATGAAGTTCTCAGAAAAAAATGTTTTACAATAAAAGCTTATTATTTACTACTTACATGGGCTGAGGCTACATTCAGAGGCTGCTAGAAAAGTTACAAAAGGGAAAACATGCTCACAAGGGAAAGACTAAAATGAATGTTCTAGTAGTTCAACAAGAATAATAAAATGCACAATTACTTGCAAGTTCAAAATGTGCAGGATTGAGAGTTATGACTGGAAATAAAAACCTAAGGCACAAATGAAAACAGGAATACTTTTTTCAGGTTTTCATAAGAAGGCACATTTTACTTCTGGATTTTAATGGGACCCTGCCAACCTGAAACTAAGTCAAATTTTTAAAGAAAAATTTAAAGCATTACATCTGCCATTAAATCTTCCTGCTAATTTTCTGATGTTACCATATTTTCTTGCATATTACATGCCCCCAGGTAAGACATGCAAGTTGTTTTTGGGGGAAAAAAGTCCCAGAGTTGAGGCATACTGTATGACTTGAAATAAGTCTTCCTGAAAACACAGTGAGCATGTCCATGAGCAGGAACCTGCATTTCCTCTGGGACAAATAGCAGTGGCCCTACACGTGCACTCTGGCACATGGCAAATTGCCCTGGGTCGGGTACGGGATGCTGGGACCAGCAACTGTGCTGGCCCCAGAAGCCTTACTTGTGGTCCTGGGAGCCTCCCACAGCTGCAGTGGTGGTGATCTGGGAACCCAGAGCCTGGCTGGCAGCTGCAGCATGGTTCTGACCAGCCAGGCTCCAGTTTTGGGTGGCACACACTGGAGGCCATGCCACCTTTTTTCAGCAGCTTTTTTAGATTCGTGGATTTCCCAGTACCTAATTTTGCCACCACATTGCAAATATGCAGCTCTGCAAACGGATCCACATGTGCTGTGCATGTTTTGCAGACTCTCAAAACAGCTTTGAGGCCCTGCAAACCACACATTCCCGCTTGTGTGGACACGGCCAGAGTGTTCAGGAAGTGTGGTATCCCAGGAGAAAGTTTGTGTAAGGCCACAAGAACATTGCTGTGTGACAAGACTTCAAAAAGGTTGAGCCTCACACCCTTTCAAGACTAGCAGCAAGACTGTCACTACTTTGCTGTGAATAGTTCTTTACATAAATTCCCATAAATAAATCATGACGTAGCCTCATCATGAGACTGCATGCAGCTCACTCACCTTCAGCCAAAAGTTACTGCCTTATCCACAGCTCTACGAGTTAGCACTGGATGCTTCCCATGCTGCTTGCTACCCCAGAGAGAAGTGGCACCCAATTTAGCACAGTGTCTGCTTGCTTCTTTCTTCCCTGCTTTGATTCCAGGGAAGGAAAAACAACTTCTCCACTTAAGACATGAACCCCAATTTTGGGAGGGGAAAGACTGAATGTTACATACAAGTGAATATGGTAAAAATGTTTTAGGGGTTTTTTTAATAATTTTTACCACACAGAGAAATTTATTGTCTGTTCTACGCACCTGTTTAAAAGCAACTGTACACTGACAGAAAAAATAAATTAATTTCACTACACTGCTTATCATTGCCTTCAAATATATATTTTTTTGCATTCTTACTTACTAGGTTTACCTTTTAACATGAAATTTTATAAACCAAGACAGATTCTGTGACTGCTCAGATCTTTTGTGTCTTTACTTTTAAAAGCTTTTAAGACACCTGAAGCACTACAGACACAACATCTGTTCAGGCCTTTAGCTTTCTGTGCCCAAAAGTATCTTGAATATAATTAGCTACTTTCAACTCGTATACGGTGACAACTCACCTATGTTAACAATAGCACCTCCCTGCTGTTGAATCATGCTTCTCACAGCAGCTTTGCAAGTCAACATTGTACCCAAAAGGTTGGTGTGAATTTGAGATAGCATGTCTTCGGTCTTGGTTCTCAATAATAAGCCATCTCTGCCAAAAGAGGAAACTGTCAGTGATTACTCCCAATTGATACAATTCACCCCGATGAAATTTCAGTGACCAAAATGGAGTTGTTTTAGAGGTGAATTTGGTCCTGCATGTACCACCAGTACAGCTCTTGATAACATTGCAAGAATTACTCACAATTATAAAAAAAGTCCATACCAGCTACCTTGTGAACAATATGCAAATACAGAAGACTGCCAAAAATAATTTCAAGAGAATTAGTTTACCTTGGGCTCCAAAGAAAAGCTACAGAAATAACTAATTATATCTTCTTCTATTGAAGTTTCACTTCCTTTGAAAATAAAATATCTGCAAACATTACCAGTATTTTCAGATACACTTCAATTCATTCTTAATTGATATAAACATCAGGTTTATTAAATTTTCAATTGCTCTTTTATATTTAGTACCTTTCAAGAAAAATGCATGATCTACAGTTATTTACAATATAAAGCTAACCTGTTGATCCCAGATGCATTAACCAAGTAATTAATAGGACCTAAATTCCTCTCCATCTCTTCAAATGTATTTTGGACATCTTGTTCTTTGGCTACATCACAGCTAAGTGCCAGGTGACCTGCTGTATTGAAATAAAATAACATCACAGTGATGATAAATGATCTTGTATCATTTATAAATGCTCTTAAGAATTAAAAAAAACTCAACAGTAAGAACAGATGTTCTCCAAGTAGCTGACTAATTACTCCAAACATATGTTGATTTGTATTTCTGTCCCTTCTCAAGTTTTGAGGTCAGCATGGGGTAAAGTGGTCCAAGGTCTTGGCTGGCTAGAAGCCAAAAACTGCTAAGTTTTAATGCCAACCCTGTCACCAACTTACATGACCTCATACAGTTCCCTTAGTCTCAGTTATTCGTCTGTAAAATAGGGCCTATTACACATACTTATCTTCCCCATAGGAGTGGTGTGAATATTATTTAATGTTTGTTCAGCACTTCCTTTTTCAAAGTGCTCTTAGATGTAGAACATTATTATTATAAATATTAAGCTATAAAGCGAAAGAGAAGCAGATGGTTCTTGTATACAGTTTGGAATTCACACTCTTTGGGTTACTTTCAAGTCCCAAAATCTTTTTTTCCTTTCCAATCAATACTTAAGTGGCCAATTGTCCCAAATTTCTAGGACAATCCCAAATTTTACAGTTGTGCCCAAGTGTCCCTGAGGACTTCCAGGAGTTTTATCCCAAAATTTAAAAACTGGTCCCAGATCAGTAACAGGTGTAACACTAGATTAGGGCTGTCCAACTTCAGAGCAGCCAAGGCCACCGGGCCTAGGACAAAGACCACAGGCTGCAAGCCATTGGCTCCCCAGAATCTCTACTGCATGCCCCCTCTTCCCTTACTGCCATATAAGCCCCCATCACTGCCAACAACCCATGGATGGGGACCTCCCATACCCCTACTGCTGCTGTATAAGCCCCGCTGCTTCCACCACCGTATGGGTGAGGGCCTCCCGATCCTGCTGCTGCTACCATTATACAGGTGAGCCCCTCCACTTCTGCTACGCAAGCAGCACAAATCCCACCTTGAGCTCCCGAGCTGCTCTGTCATGTGGGCTGCAAGCTCACTGGACCTCCTGCCATGCTACCCTGCCCCAGAAACCCTGGCTGCTACCACTACAGCAGCTTGAGCAATGGAAGGAATGGTGGCTATGCAGGAAGCCCATGGCCCATACATTAACCCCTCGTAGGCTGCATCTGGCCCATGGGCCACCAACTGAATAGGACTGCACTAGGTTACTGCAAATTATGAAACTGCACAGGCCCAAATTGGTCAGGGGCTCCATTGTGTGAGCAATTGTGTATAACAAGCAGTAAAGCTGTGATTACCTAAAGAGGGAGTGTCTCATGAGGAGCACAGCTGGGCAGCAGCATGGGAAGGCTGCCCCTTTAGAGACAATGTGAAGAAAGCAGTGCTGGGCCTAACAGGAAAGAAGCCCACAAGCCCTGCACAGGGTGAGTGCGCACTGAGCAGGAGGAACTAGAGGAAGACAGGTCCAGTCCACCTGCATGTGCGGTTGAAGGCGGTGGGACACAGGCTGCAGAGAGCCAGAGCAGCCACCTGGTTCGTGGTGGGGAAAGACAGGGTTTAGAGGACACTAGAACCCTGCTTACCTGGAGGGAGGCATCATATAGAAAGCCAGGACAAGGAGGTGACAAAACCCCATTGCCTGGTGGGGTATATGGGTGGTGGCCCAGGTGACTGCCTGAGCCAGCAGCCCAGACCCTGTGCCCACTGTGTCTGGGGCTGCAGATCAGGGGGAGAGAAGTGCATTGCAGTGAGGGAGCAACGGCCGGCAACGTAACACCTGAAGCAAGCACAGAGGGACCCAAAGCAAAGAGGACCTGCCCACGCTCCAGTGAGAGGGGCAAAGAAGTGGCTATTCCTCTCAAGGCATTGGCCCAGGCTGTTAAGTGTGCAGAGAGCCATCATATTCATCCTTGTGTATAAAAGTTATTGACTGGATGTTTACATAAGTAGGGGCAAGCCTATAGGCCTGTGACGGTTCAATGTTGGTGCCTTAATATCCATCTGTAATTAGTATTCTCCTTTTAGGTTATGCATATTCAAAGGAAAGGTTATACGTAGTGACTGTCATTACCAGGGTTGTGGGTATGTATTGTATGTTCTCTTTAATAGCCTTTATGAGTTAAACCTGTTTGATTATTTGTAATTGATATTGTATATAATTAAATCCTGTATATAGTTAACCCTATTTGCAAGGCTCAACCTCTGTACAGGGAGGCCCTCTTCTTGGGGAACCTGCTGCAGCCACTAGGGTTGAGCAAGGTCACTGGGCACCCCAGGATCTCACTATTCGGTGGTGGCTGCGCGCCTGGGTTACATGTGAAACTGACTCACAGCCATCAGTTTCACGGCTACTCTTAGGATGCACGATAGAGAAGTGTAGGGACTTATTGCCAAACTTTTGCAAGGAACCCTGGAACAGGAAAACTTCTGCTCCTGTTCCCACTGTAGCCGTTGAGATGACACAGCACAACACTACCTGGTACTGCTGCTACCTCCCAACCCAGAAGCAATATAACTGCACTTACTCAGCAGTCCATCCTAGCCAGGCAATTAATTCCACATTGCCAATGACCTAATTAACCTATCCCCAGGACTGAATTATGGCAGCCACAAAAAAGGACCTAGAAGTAGGATAAACTACTTCACAAGTAGAGTGAACTACTTTACTTTTAGTACTGGAAATCTGTGAAGCATCTAAGATTGTGCTCCTTGAAAACTGGCTTCCTTTAGCTGATGCTAACCCTATGAGTGGTATTTCAAAATATAATTTAAATGCATTACACAATGGATACAGAAAATACACAGGATATTTCCTTTGAACACAGCTATCCAATATTTAATAATAAGCGGACTACCTTGCTTCCAGTGAAGTTAACTAAAACATTCCCATTGGCCTTTTTGGAAAAAAAGGATCAAGCACTTACAATCCGAAGCAACATGAATAAACAAACTGTCCATCTATGTATTTCATTGCTTCTGAAACAGTGGCTCTACCTTTTACCACCATCTGACTTTGGGAAAGTGTTCAATTTAGGCATACTATTTACTATTCTTACAGGTTACCTAAACACTGAGTAACATGCAAATAAAACAACAGCAAAGCAAACATACATACCTCCCAGGTGATTTGCTGTGGTTTGGGCTACTTCCAAGTTTCTAGCAATAATAGCCAAGCGGTATCCTTTCTGTGCCAGTAGCTGTGCAACAGCTTTTCCAATTCCTCGGGATCCGCCAAAAATAGCACAAACTTTGGCCATCTCCAAAGAATAATTCACAAACAGCAAGTCAATCTAAACAGCAATGACTGGAACTACATACTTTAAGCCTAACTCTCCAGGGTACCAAGCACCCTCTGTTCTCAGTGAAGTCAGTGAAAGGACACTTGGCATTTTGCAGCATTAACAGCACTGAAAGAAAAACCTACATTAAAGCTTCAGCTGTGCTGGACTTAATTAAACGCTACTATCTACTACTACATAGTAAACAGTAGATTCATTCAACTATGTGAATTCGTATTGTTCAATCACATAACTGTGCTAGTATTTTGGAATTGCTGATAAAAACATTAGACGTGCTCAACCCCTGGCCCATGGGTCTCCCCATGGGTCCAGAAAGTTGTCGGTGGGGGGAAGAGGTAGCAATTAACACTGCTCCCCTGCTGCCACGTTTCTAAACCCCCGGTACAACAAGGCCAGGACCAGTTTGGGCCCACAGCCCGGCACCACTCATTTGGCTTGCGGGTAAAAAAGCATAGGCACCGCTACTCTGGCACATCAAGACTACCACAACCACTATTAATGATCTTTTAATTTTAAATGACACAGATAGGAATATCATTAAAATTCCCCAACAGGCGGGCACCAGTTGGGACTCGTGGCTCACAACGTCCAAGCAAACATTTCCAAACCAAGCCAAGCCAAGCCTTCCAACACCAGGCCGCCAGGGGTGGGGGCGCGCATGTTGGCTACTTAGGCGGCCCCTAGCCTAGGCGCTGGTCACCTCCAAGAGGTTGGTGTAAGACCAGTGCAAAGCTCCCTGACAGCGGAAGTCCTTCCAACCTCGGCCTCAAGACCCCTCCCAAACACCCAAACCAGTGTGCCCCGCTGCCCCAAAAGCCAAGGCGCAGCAGGTCGCGCGACATCCGGCTGGCGCATGCGCAGCGCATTAACGCCGAGCGCGCGACAGGGGGAGATTGGAAGCTGCTCGCGCTGCGCCAGGGGGCAGTAGAGTTCAGCCGATCCCTACCCGCCCCCCTCCCAGCCTTGTTCTGGCGCGGGCCACCGGCTGCCATAGGCACCGCGCAGAGCGGTGCCGCCCCCGCGGCCCCTCACCTCGCCGGGGTACCTAGCGAGCGCCCGGGCGTGGGGGGTGTCTAGAACTACCCGTCCCTGCACGCCGCGCGGCCAGACACGCCACCGCCCAATGGCTGCCGCGGGGCATGCCGGGACCTGTAGGCATGGCGGGGCCTCCGCGCGCCCTTTGCTAGAAGTACAGCAGCACCTCCCTGGTCCCGCGGCCTGGCTTCCCAGCGGCCTCTGGGTGGAGGGCAGGGAAGGGGCGGGTCCGTCCCCGGAGTGACGTGAGAGGGGTGTGGACGCGGCTTCTCTCTAGGCTGCTGTCAGCTCCGGGCAGGGGTGCCCCGGGGCGCCGCAGCATCAGCCCTGCCAGAGGGGCCAACACGAGGAGGCGCAGGACAAGCCCAGAGGTTTCCGAGAGGGAGCCGCAGTGTCAGAAGCGTCCTGCCTGGAGCTCGTTGCACTAGAAGCATCCCTCTAGGCCTTTTCTGTGGTCGAAAGGCAAGTGCAAACCACTCTAGCATTTTCTGAGGGCTGCCTTGAGTCTAGCCTCGAGTTTAAAGCTAATTTAGACCTTGGCTAAAACTCCGTAAGTTTTCCTCCTTGAACCATGCTGACATACCTAGCGGCAGCCCCTTTCCCGGTGCAGACACAGCTACACTTGGAAGAAAAGGGCCCATGTGGGACATACTTATTCAGACACATCCATACCCGGTTTATTGGCATAATGGTATTGACACTAAACTTAATTATGCAAATAAAAAAATTCATGCATCTTAAAAAGCCCAGCAAAACTTGGTAAAGAGTAGACCAGATGTGTGTTTATAGTCAGCATAAAGCTGTGAATTTTACCAACTCTATTGTCCACATTTTATTAATCAGTTCACAGATATTTTAAATGATGCTATTTTTCTGTTCCTGATTTCAAACTGGCAGATACAGTGTTATTCCTAGGCATAAAAGATAAACTGTCCCATATGATTGTCCAGATCTGGCTTTGATGGTTTCTCTTTTACTGCATCACTTCATGACTAGCTTTCCACTGAAAACTTTTTAAGTTTTATTTGTTTGGCCCTACCGTGTTGTTTTGTTTTCTTTCCTTTTGTCCGAAATGTTGCATCAATGCCTTCAGCTGAGAAATAATTCAGGTTTAGAAACTTGTTACTGTTTACACATGCGGTATGCTTTCTAAAATCTTCGGACTGATAAAGTATTCAAAGCTGTCATCAAGTTTCAAGTGACATAAATGCCCTGGAGTTATGAGCTCAGTGGAAATGTGCTATGCTAAAGTTACTGCTTTTACTTTTAACCACAGTCAGGATTTCACATCTTAAATGCTTCCCGGGTCTCAAGGATTAGATCTGGCAATTAAGTTACAGATTTTAGCATACAGACATTTTAAACTGATCATTTTCTCGTATCTGAGAAGAAACGTGTTTGTGTATGGAGTCCAGATATTGTTAACAAAAACAAAAAGCATTATGCAAAGCAAGTTTCCTCCAGCAAGTAAGTTTTTTTTAGGCAGGTTTTATTTTAAGTGTAGCAAATAAGATTTTTGGATCTATGACATTCTGTCCATGTAATTCTCCAAAAACCTAGAGATCACAGGGATGAACATAGTATAAATGCATAGAGAGCTGACATTTGGGCTGCTTGTACACGCCATGGGGGTTTAATTCGGTTTAGTTCTGCTAAATTGAAACAGTGGGTTTTAAAAACTCACCATTTCAATTTAGGGAGAATTAAACTGAGCTAAATCCCCATGGCGTGTACACAACGGTGGAG